GTTAAATTTGAAATTATGTGAAGTCCAAATCACATTTATTCACATTTCAGATCAGAATGCTGACATTAGATGTCAACAGTTGTTGACAGATCCAGTTGTTGACAGATCATCAGTTTTTGAGGGTCATTTACTCTTATTCACCCCGTGCCTTTGTGAACAAAAGTATGTTTTGATGGACAAACAAAACCAAAACAATAACCTTACCAATGCCACTCCCTAGTAAAAGGTACACAGATTAAATATTTTGTGTTCGTCCTTCATCCTCAACAATTCATTCGCCGGACGAGATTAAAAACAATTGAATCATGCTAATCTACTTACTTGACACTAAATTAAGTCCTTTTTTTGGGATTAGGCATGGAATCCAGGAGAGCCAGAATCAAAATCTTGGATATGGAATATATTTAATGAATCACGAGACTGTGGACAGTACTGGTCAGCGCCAACGGGCATCCCGATGTGGGACGATGTTAGATGCAGCAAAAAGAAGAAGTACATCTGCCAAGCTACTCAAAGTCATTTACCACAGAGAAGTATTCGATCTCGAGGGTTCCCTTTTTTTACATTCTATAAGAAGTGCCCTGCATAATAACATACTAGAAGTCTAAAAGTGAGATTGACAAGGTTAGTGAGTGCATGAATGCCAAAAGTATTAAATTGTTTCCGTTAAAACTACAAGTGTTTTTTGGTTTGCGGTGATTTCATATATATGGCCTACATGATACTTCTTTAACATTTATACTACTTGTATCTTGCCTGATCGAGCATTGTTTCATTTGTCACTGTATGAATATTATTGGCACATTTCAACGTAGGTGTTAATTTAGTCTTGATGTAATTAATTCATTTAGAAAAAATGTGTTACAAATGCTATTTGTCTTTAGCAAGATCCTTATATTGTGTCCAAAGTATTTACACTGAGTCTGCCTCTACATCATTTATCTTTTTTTTTAATTTAGATTTATATACATTCAGTGATGAGGGCACAAAATTAGCTGAAAACATTGTGATTCAATTACAAGTATTGTGATTCTACAATTTCATGTGAAAATATCCTTTAAAAAGAATAATCTTTTATGGAAGAGCTTACAGATGTTGTAGCAGTTTTTAAGTAGACTGACTGTCAGGCATATTTAATTAGGCCACACTGATTTATTTTTAAGGATAACATCCGCACGTGCATTGATTTTCGCCTGTCTTAAAAAACATCCGAGGCTCTAGCCTGGGTACCATCCTCCATTGTCCATGATAGCTACCAACAATAAGGAGCTGGATGTAAGAAATATGGTGGATGGCACCCAGGCTGATGAGTCTCCACAGAACTCTAGAACTCCATACAACATGAACCTAGAAACAAATTTTCTATGAAACATAGACATGGATATTCTTTATTCACCCTCGACTTGCAGGTCTCAATTGTAGTTGCGGCAATTCATTCGAAGAGAATAAGACATAATGTGAATTTGCCACGTATGTAGAAATCTAATAGAAAGAGCAATAATAGAGTTACGTTTATGTAAGGTGTATAGTGAGGGAGTTTTTTTTTTTCAACAACAAAAAGGGACAATTTTGAGTTAGCTCGAGTGACGGGCTACAAAGCAGTTGATTGTTATTCATTCATTGTCTCCCACGCACTCCTTCGTGGGCATACAGTCATTCGTGCGGAGTATCAATCAAAACAATCCCCGAGAAGAGTTTAGAAGGGATTTCTTTTATATCTATATCATTTTCAAGCTGCCATCCGATCCTTTATTAGACACAATTAATACTCTGAAACTGAGAACAGGACGAGTTTCAAATATTTTTCATCAAAATAATTTTACTTTGCTTCGAAAAATTAGTCTACCAACAGGTATCCTTGTATATACTTTACAATGTACATATACATTTTTGGGCAATATGTCAGGACGGGATGAAATACTCCGCTAGCGCTGTTGAAAATTGTATGTTTTCATTTCTTGGAGAAGTCATTTTTATAATACCTGTCTATGTCAAGAACATTTAAGGAATGGTGCAAGAATGTGAAACGTGTGTAAAGACTTTTAAGCGTATGAAAGTCCCGAGCTGTCGACGTGTATACATGTATGGTAGCAACCCAAAGGTAGAACATACATCTTAGACCGATGTGTTAGAATGGATAATTGTGTATTCAATATATATCTACTAACTCTCTTTACATAGCAGCGTTGACCGGTGGCCATAACCCTATCTAGACTAGACTTTATTTTTTTTTTGGGACGGGGGAGGGGCTCATTCTCAGAACTCAAGAACTGTATATTGTATGACCGCTAAATTTTCAGAGTATGGTGTACTAGTAATAATCAATCATATCAACAATTTTGATATCATAATGACGTAATATGACGTCATTATGACGTCTTTTATGTGATTTATTGCCTAAAACCGGTTTTCTCTTAAAACGTAATGGTATACAACACAAGTTTAACGAAAAGTGTTTATGATACAATATTTTCAAATAATTTCATGTCTTAATCAGGTTACAGACCCTTGACTTTTTTTGCCCTGCGGCGGCGTAGTTACTTTCGCATACGTTGCGTTTCGCTGCGGTGTGATGCGTTGCACGAGAAACACCCCCAAATCCCACATATACAGGGCACTATATAGATGGTACTGTATGTACAACCATATATATATATATATATATATATATATGGGCCCCGCAGGACAAGGGTTAAGGTCTACTTAATCGTATGTTGCCCATAGCAACACAAGTAACGTCATAAAATAACGTCATGCATATTTTTTTTTAATCTGTCCGCCATCTTGGATCATCAACATTGAATTTTCGAAAATACTTAAAAAGATCGATTATGGGATGAAATTTTAAGGAAAACAGCCGGAATGTACCTGATATAATGATATCGTCCGCCATCTTGGATTTTGGCCAATGACGTCATCAAAGTAGCATAGATTATGCATAATAATTACCTGAAATTATAAAAGATGTTATTAATATTAGGAACCATGTGTAAGTTAACACGAAACCCTGAAAATTTCATTGTTTAAGTCAAAATTACTGATTTTGCAAAAATGCCTGTCAGAAACCCTTTGGCATGGCAACACGAAAAATTATCAATTCATCCCACTGCTATGAAATTGTTGGAAACAAAATTTTAAGAAAAGTCACCAAGTTTGGTGGCCTTAGCACAAGCCGTTCGGACGTTATCGGACATCAAAGTTGGCGCGGGTCTAGATAGGGTTAATGGCGTTCCCAGCGTGACCTTCTTGTAAATATCTTGTACTTCAAGTCTAAGATGGGGGAGCAAGAATACTGAATGTAAAAACTACTAATGACCCATTCAGAGGTGTAAGTGGCGTCATATAAAACCCCGTCGTTTCCTATAACCACCAATTAAATCGCCGAGTGAGCGAAGCATCAATAGTGTAAGTCATGACGTCAAAGGTAGTCTAAGTCCCGGATATGATGAAGGTGAAAAACTGAACTCAAGTTACACCTTGCCTGTTTTTTTTCGTGCATGCTTACTATTCAGGAAAAAAATGTTCAAAAGCGTGAAGTTTGAATAAAACGTAACGCAAAATTGGGCGTCTGTTACTACTGTGTTCCACCCGCGTCTGTGTGTGCGAGCCTGTACATTGATTCTCTGCGTGTATCTGTGTGCACAGAGATTTCCTATCTGAGAAAATGTACTGTAAAGGTAGCATTCTAAAACTTAAACGTTATGTGACTTCATCGGTTCACTTTATATATTTTCATGGATTACGGGGTGATATTTCTTCATCTAATAATATATACAATACGTAAAAGGTACGCGGCAGCAACTTAAGAGTAGTAATGACCTATAATGTGTCCATTCTAGGGCGAGCTTCACCGCCTCTGGCGGAACCACGTCGGCATTCGGCCGAGGTATGCTGGGAGGGGGCACCAGTAAGCAGGTCGTTGACCTCTGACATTGATACGGCGCCATTTTGCGTATTTAATTGAAACTATTAAGAGATATAACTTAACCGGTTAGTTCTATGGCACGGTTTGGAAGGAACGTGTGGCACGTGGACACGATTTACCCGAATCACGCTTTCACCGGTTTCGTTTGAATATGGCCTAAAAGAGAAAACATTTGGTTAGCGAAGATGGGTTAACAGACTTCGCCCCTTTTCCATATACATTATTCAAACTTACTGCCCATTGCTGCTATATATATCAAGGGCTGAATATCACATATTTTTAGTTATTCAAACCCAACCCAGAGTGGGTAAACCTTACATAAGTCATGTTAATGCATATGCAAACTGTGCCTCAAAGAGCCAACCTTTTACTAACGGTCACTTGGCCATCATATGGGGGCCAAAAGGGTGCGCATGGTGAGCGCCATCTTGCGGCATCGCGAAGTAGGACTGCAGCCCGCCTACTACCTACCTGACGTCCTGACTGCCAGAGTCCAGGATGTAGCGCGAGGGAGAGGACTGAGGACCATTCACCCAACCGTGGTAGAAGGTAGAACAAGGACCTTGGGTAGAACGATATAGAAGGTACGTCATTTTCTCTAATTCCAACAAAAATGCAATTATGGCCTGCGCTTTTTACTAGATAAATAATTCAAAACAATATAGTTGACCAGTTTGGATAGAACTTATATGATGGTCAGGCTTTACTTTTGTTTCACTTATTTTGGTATTATGATTTCATGCGCGATGTATGCTACTTAAGTTACCTTGCTTTTGTATTATTTAGTAACTTTTGTAACTTTATAAGTTACTTTTGTTGTTATTTGTATTAGTTTGAGTTTGATGTTTTTGTTTGGGGTCTTCCCCAGGCCCAGAGCTCATTGAAAAGCGCCCTACGGCGTATGTATCCCCCTGGTTAAATAAATAAAAACAAACAAACAAACAAACTTGTTGGAAATATTACGTCAAGGAAGGGGGAGGGCGTGGCTATACGTCATATCCGTGATCCTTATTAGGCATGATGGGAAGTGTGAAAGTCATGACTACATTACGGGTTTCGCGCAGGTGTAGTACGTTCTCCCGGCGTGCTTAGCAGACGGTACCTTTCTGATGCGTCTGAACTGATTTTAACGAGACGTAAAAACTGACCATAGCACTGTGACAAGCTTAAAGATGAACCGTCTTCTGGTTGGTGGAATCGGCTGCTCTTTTCTCGGGCTGGTTGTGTATGTGGTGGGGATAGCGACAACCGCCTGGCTGTCGGTAGCCCAGAGTGGGGCTGAAGACAAGGTCGGACTGTGGCAGGAGTGCGTTTATAACCCACAATTTGGAAGGACGATCTGCATTGGCACCACCGGTAAGGGAAAAATCTAATCTGCAAGGCTCTACCAAGGAGCTTTAAAAGAGACTTGGCTCCGACCAGCTATTACTACAGGGGTAATCTCCAAGCAGATCTTTTGGTGTGGGTAAGACAGTATCAAATTGGCCAGTCTGTAACCATTTCCCCATCCAATTGCAAGGGAGGTAGTAGCGACAAAAAAAGGCAATATATAAAAATATCCCACCCATAAAATCTTCCACCATCAACCTCTGCTTGGAGAGTACTACAGGGGTACGAATCGTAGAATGCGGTAAGAAAGGGGGCCTTGATTTGTATCAACTGTAAACAACTTAACAAGTCAAGGGTAAGATACGTTACGTTACCTGTGCTGACAAAACAACCATCGTCATGGTCAAATAACCTAGAGCGTAAACAGGGAAACAGTGAATACACTACAAAAAATGTTTTTTCTTGTTTTTCTTAATAATAAATATTTTCTTAATTCGTGGACAAATTTTCTCACACAAAGAAATTTTAAGACTGAAGACGGATGAGTAAGAAAAAATTTCTTCAAGTGAATTCTCCCACGAAGAACTTTTTTCTCATTTTTCTTCAGTGAAGAAATTATTTCTAAAAACGGTAATTGCCTTCAAGAATTTCTAGAATTTCAAGTTTAAATTTCTTGATCTTCTTGTCTAGCAAGATTGTTTTCTTGATTGTTCTAAGAAATACTAGAATTTATTTCTGCCCTTTCTTGTATTTCTTCTGATAAGAAAAAGCAAGAAAATCAAGATATCAAAAAACAAGTAATGGTTAGAATAACATTCTTATACATTCTTGTTTTTCTTATCTAGAAACTTAAGAGAGGCATTTCTGAGTTTTCTTGGTAATGTTTAAGAAAATACAAGAAGCTGTTTCTTTCTTTTCTTGTATTTTCTTCAGGTAAGGAAAATAAGAAAAGTCAAGATCATTCTAAACACGTAACACTAGAATGACATTCTTAAATGTTCTTGTTTTTCTGATGTAGAAACTCTGAGAAAGGTACTTCTCAGTTTTCTTGGCAATGTTAAGAAAATTCAAGAAGTTGTTTCTTGCCTTTCTTGAGATATAACACAAAGAAAATCTAGAAAATCAAGGTATTTTAGTTATAAGACATGTTCAAGTCATGATTAGAACACCAGTCTTCTTTTTCATTGTAAAGAGATTTTTAGAAAGGCAATTCTTGTTTTTCTTGTTTATGTTCAAGAAAATACAAGAAATACTTTCTGGTTTGAACTCAATATAAAGTTTGACCAATGGCAGCATTTGTCATGTGATCTTTGTTGTAAGCCCCTGATTGGTGGATTCATATCCCAGATGACAGTTGCTCATGCAGGAGACAGAGTTCAGTTCGTGGAAGATGCTGGTGCTGTTAACTTCTGTTTCTATCAAATGATTCGGATCAGTTTCAAAGTCAAAAACAGGGTACAGGGGATCTTGTACAAGAGAGGCAATGGAGATTGCTGTCAGGCTGCAGAAAGAACCAAGTTTGGAACAGAAATGCTGGATTTTTTTATATATACAACTTACAAGGTAAGTGCTTCCGCACCCCCCTCCCCCCTAGGTAAGAAAGGGTTCCTGATCGGTTTAGGTACAAAAAACAAGCATGAAAATCATTAACTAGGATTTTGAAATAACAATTTAGCCTCTTTAAATTTGGTTCAGTTCAAAACACAATATTTTTCTCTGTAACTTAGGAGCTTATATGTTAAAAGTTACCAGCTATTTGCCCATGACCTAAAGGTCATTGGGAGACTACATTCCCTCGCTGCAGGGTTAATTCTGAAATACTGTTACAGCAGTAACACAGTTTTTATTTTTATCTGGAGGTAAACATATATTTTCATAAGTAACAGAATGATATTTTTATTTAGCATTTATTTCATATCACTGCCTCAGGTACAATGTGTGTTTACTTGTGACAGTAATAATAACTTCGTTTTTTTCCAGATGCAGGAGGATTGTGACCTTGACAATGCTGAGGTTTTCGTCGTGTAGGGAGAAATGCTATCCACTTCCAAGCTGGGTCTGAACAGACTGACATAGCGTGTCTACCAAGATGATTAAAAGTCCAAGAAGTTTTGTAATCAGATCTTGTTAAAGATAATCTTATGTTTATTATTGTAAGTGCATGGATGATGATGATGATGGATGTTAATCTTTAAAGCAAGAAAAACTTTCTTGGATCAAGAAACTAAACTTGGTCTCCTGGTAAGAAATATGTTCTCAGCATAAGAATGTTTTCTTAACAAGAAAACATTTCTAGAAATAAGAAATCTGGTATTGTGGTAAGAATGGTGTTCTTAGTATAAGAATGTTAATCTTAAAAGCTAGAAAAAACGTTTTAGTAATGGGAATTTTGGTCTTGATATTAAGGACTTTGGTAAGAAACATATTCTTTGTATAAGAATTTTAATCTTAAAAGCAAGAAAAACTTTCTAGGATCAAGAAACTTGGTCTTCTGGTAAGAAATATATTCTTAACAGCAAGAAAACATTTCTAGAAATAAGAATTTTTGTCTTGTGGTAAGAATGGTGTTCTTAGTACAAGAATGTATGTTAATCTTAAACGCAAGAAAAACTTTCTAGTAGAAACAAGAATTGTGGTCTTGAGGTGAGAAAGATATTCTTGGTATGAGAATGTTAATCTTAAAAGCAAGAAACTCTTTCTAGTAATTTCATCCAAAGACCCAAAGAATTTTCATCTTTGGGTAAGAAAAATATTCTTAGTTTAAGAATGTTAATCTTGAATGCAAGAAACTCTTTCTAGTAGAAATAAGAAGTTCCGTCTTGGGTTGAGTAAACTATTCTTAATTTCCATGTAAGAATGTTAATCTTGAAAGCAATAAAAAGTTTCTAACAGATGAAGGAATTTCGTTTTTTTGGAGTTAAGAAAGATTCTTAGTATAAGAATGCTAATCTTAAAAGCAAGAAATACTTCCTGATAGAAATAAGAATTTTGGTCTCAAGATAAGAAAGATATTCTGAGAATGTTAATCTTAAAGGCAAGAAAATTTTCTGGTATAGGCAAGATTTTTAGTCTTGAGATAAGAACGATATTCTTATTATTGGAATGTCAATCTTCAAAGTAAGAAAAAAATTCTGTTAAAAATAAGAGTCTTCATCTTCGGGTGAGAAAAATATTCTTAGTTATCGTCTGAAAATGTCAATATCAAAATCAAGAAAAACTTTCTGGGATCAAGAATCCTGGGCCTCTGGTGAAGAAAGATATTCTTAATATATCTAGAACTTCTATCTTAAAAGCAAGAAACCTTTTCTGGGCACAAGAATCTTAATTCTGTAGAGAAAGGTATTCTTACTATAAGAACCTAAATCAAGAAAAGCTTCCTTTAAGGTAAGAAGTACTTTTATATGGAACACATGTATTTAAGATCCTAATTCTTACTTTCTAAGAATTACGTTCTTGGAACGAGAAAATGAATCTTAATGCAAGAATATCATTCTAGATGTTTCTATAATCCAGCTACATGAATATAAGAAACCGATAAGGAAGATATTCTCACTACAAGAAAAACTCTATAAGAAAAAAATTCTAAAAAAAAACTTCTTAATTCGTGGACAAAATCTTTTTCTTACACAAAGAAAGTTTTCTTCCCTGAAGGATTTTTTTCTTTCTGGAAGAAGAAACAAGAAAAACAAGAAAATGCATTTTTTGCAGTGTAGCTTGTTCGTAGGACATTTACACAGGTCAGCCCTCAGTTAGAGACCCTCAGAAGCTCAGAAATGCTCAGGGTGTAACAGTGTTTTATTTTCTTTGTGTGTGTGTGTGTGTGTGTGTGTGTGTGTGTGTGTGTGTGTGTGTGTGTGTGTGTGTGTGTGTGTGTAAAATCTACTACTACATTGTATATGAACAGGTCGGACCAGGAGTCGAGGACCTGAACTGAATACTAACATGTCGTTGGTTGAATTGGTAGACCATGACAGGTCCTTTGTACACCCTGGTGTGGAATTTCGTCTCCCCCGGACTAATAACAACACGAGTTAAAAAGAAATACCTTAGGACATGTTGATTTGATTATATGGATGACATCCGAGCGCGCATGAATTTTCGTCCGTTTCAAAAAAAGTTTTCGACCATACTGTAAATCGTACAAAATCAGCGATTACATGTCGTATTTTGCAAAAAAAAAGAGTATTACTAATGTCATAGAACGCCAAAACCAATTCAGGAAAATAATAAAAGGTGACATGGTGAAGTCATGGAAATGAAGAGTCTAGTATCTTTCGCCATGCCATACTCCGTGTGTTCAGTCATTTGTTCAACCTCCATGACCACGTAGATATCACAATGAAGGTACTTTTTTTTATTCACACGTTTGTGTAGGTTTTGGGGTTCCCAGAGGATACCATCCATATGATAAAATCAACACGGCCTTAGAGAGAACAATTGTCTAGTAGAGTTTATTTCACGGCCAGCGCGCACGAAACCCTAACGGTAGCCCCACCCCCTGGCTAATCAAACCTTTTTTTCTTCAGAATTCTACTACTTTTCAGTGACGCACAATTTTCCTTGCATCATTTCCTTGCATTCCTTGCATCAAAATATCCCCCACCACCAGACTTACGTATACATTGGTCCTTTTACCTCTAAAGTTTGATCTAAGGATTTTTTTGGTTCGTTTGAACCCACAAAACATCCCAATTGGCCAGCAGCTCGCTTTGCATTGAGGTCAACTTTTCCCAACCATGGTAAGGAATTAAGGTCGGGGAGGTGTCGGCCATGTTTGGATGGTATTTTGGCAGCCTGCCCAAGCCACGATAGACTGCACACCGGACTAATAATACCCTGTTGTTTTCTGTAGATATCAGTCGGCTGCCCGCTGCTTTCAATGCCTCCCGTGCCTTTACCGTGATCGGAATAATGCTGCTCATTCCCGGTCTAGCTCTGGCCTGCTTCACCCTGAAAAAGAACTCCAACAAATTCAAGAAGATCGGTGGTGGCATGATTATTGCTGGGGGTATGTTTAACATCGTTTTTGTATTTCACTCCATACCATGCTATGGATGAAATATATTGTTTTTTCTTCTTCTTCTTCGTGATTTCACAATGGTTGCACCACGGAGGTTGCACTTTATTATCACCCAATAAATTCGGCTAGTGTGAACTATCAAGGCTGCAACTGCTCAGTCTGACATACTGTTTAAATGGGTGTGCATTTAGATTTTCAAGCGTGTGGTGGTAAACTTTTAGTGATCACATAGCAAGCGAAAAATCATGATGTAATCGGCCTGTTTGCCATTGATTTCGACAGCATGGCAAATCTTGGCGCACGCAATGTAGCCTCTACCAGGGGGCTGGAAAGGGTAGAGATTGGCCAAATAGAGACTGAAATAACATGCACCGGAATTAGGTCCGCTGGGGAGTACAGTTTGCCACACCCGTAGCCTATATATTGGGGATTGCTATACTACGATCAAACGGTATTAAAGTAATCTCATTATTCGGGTGCAGCAAACTGTACTGTCCAGCGGACCAATTCCCCGGGCATGGTATACCTATATTTGGTCAGTTTCTACTCTTTCCAGCATTGTAAAATGACGCCATCTTGGTCACTTTGGGTTAACGGGGCAGTCTATTGCATTATGGGAAGAAAATCTGCTGCGTTTTTTGTCATTTGTTTATTTATTAGGTCGCCTTGCGTTTTGTATAAGAAGACCACTCCTCTAAGAAGACCATTTTCTTTGGCTCACGAGTGGTCGTCTTAGACAAGTTGGACTAATTCAATCTTTCAACAGGGGTCTGTGGCATCATCGCCGCTGCTTGCTTTACCGGCTACGCCGTGAATCTCTTCCAAACTTCGGGCGTGCCGGTGCCGTTCGGCTACTCCTTCTACCTGACCTGGGTACAGGCGGTCTTCACCATCATGGGAGGAGCCATCATCATATGTTCCGGGCGCAGGGACGAGGAAGATGAGCTACCCATGGTCCGCTAGGGAGTCCTTTAAAGAGGCATTTTGTAACGTTTCGTCAGAAAAAATTGAATTAATCTAATCGGGAAAAAATATTCGTGTGATTGTCCTCTTCTCAATATACTTATCACATTTCTGACCTTTGTGGTCGTCGCTAAATTAACTCACGAGGCGCACTCATTTTGTTGTACCACCACAAACTAGCAGGATGTAAACAAACATGGCTGACAGCTGTGTCTTCGGCTTGTATAGAAACTCGTAAGGCGTCATACTATGGCACCTCCTCAATGGCGCTAATTTGAAATGAAGTACGGATGATTCAATTTACTTTGTAAAAAAAATATGACCAGAAAACCTTCCGCATCGCCCTGGTGTTACATAATGCAGCTCCAAAAAGGCCTGTCTCAAAAGTTCTTATGCTTTGCAAATCAGATATCATTTGTTTTGGTATATCATCAGTTTGTATGAAAATCGGAACTATCACGTATGTAACCAGCTCTTTATTGATATAAACTGGTCTGCCGTGGTGTTTTTTTTAGTTTTGATTGTGGTTGAGCACAAAACAAATATCTACAATGTAGTTTTTGTAGGTTGAACACAATACAGATATCGACAATGTAGTTTTGTAGGTTTGGGAAGATATAAATATCCAAAATCAAGTTTGTTTATAGGGAAAATTTAAAAAGAGTTTAGTACATAGACCGTATGTAATTGCACGTTAAAACAACCATTATTGCAGGAGGATGGGGTGATTGTGTGATTGCGAATAAAACGGATACGCCAAACCTGTCTGTTCATTCGTATTTTGCATCTTTAACGTTATGGAGATACTGTATCCAGAACCGTAACAAACCAAGACGAAAGCTCGGCGCAGATTTTTTGCGGGATTTCTGGCCGAAAAGCTTCATTTGGACCCGGTGCCGTTTGCAGCTGTACATCAACTCTTGGGCCCCATTTCCACTAGGATAAAATTGTCCGGATCGAGCCGAATTGATTCACTTTGATCCGGCTTCAATCCCGCTAGAAGCCGGATCAATTCGGCTCGATCCGGTCAATTTTATCCAAGTGGAAAAAGTTCTCGAGGCCTATGAAGACACGACATAACCCACAGACCGACCAGAGGAAGACTTTAAAAGGATAGTTATTTTGATGTTTTATATTGAGTTTATTGACTTCGTTCACAATTCAGTAAAATACATGGCAGCTTCATTTGTGTACAAAGATGCTGAATTGCGCATTGATGTAATAGTTGACACTTGGAGATTTTAACAGGTATATTTGTTTAAGAGGTAAGTGAAGTACGGGATAGGGATGTTTTTGTAACGGTTAGTTTTTGCCAGAGGGATGCAGAGTTGCTGGGAACTTTTAAGGTTTTTAGCATGGACTTCCGATCGGGTTGGAGGTAACCAGCCTCTAAATGTGGGGGAACTTAGCAAGGATTTAGCAAACTTTAGACTAAGGGTTTCTCTCCTGTTTTCCAAGGAGGGCAGACATAGGTGAGTTAGGGCTTCATCGTAATGGGTATATTTTATGTTTCATAGACATAAAAATCCAAACTACATGTACTCTTCCAGGATTCAATAAAAACACAGTGTACGCATACGTCATGCAAAACATTTCATTTAACATGCACACACATAAGACTTAAATCGCGTAACTACAGAGCAACATCAACATTTCAAAATCACTAGTTCAGAACATGTACCTGTTCAACTACAATGTACAGAGATGACATGCCTGCAAAACTTGTTTAAACCTGGAAGCAAGGAGAGTCTAACATACCCCATTGACGGCTCAAAATGACTTAATCGTTTTTCCAACGATCGTGTTTTATGGGTTTTTGAAGAATGCCTTATTTAAGATATCCACCATCTTGGATCATCAATCTCGAATTTTCAAAAATAGTTTTTTTTCATGCTAAAGCCTAAAATATATTGTAAACACACTAAAGACATTCATTTAAACCTTTTTTGGAAAAAGAAATGGAAGTATTGATGACATTCTAATGAAAATAACCTGTATATACCTGTTCTAATGATATGGTCCGCCATCTTGGATTTTGGCCAATGACATCATCAAATTAGCATAAATTATGCATATTTAATGATAAAATTTACATAAAATTATGTGGGATGTTACTAATATTAGAAACCATGAATAACTTGACATAAAACCCATAAAATTCTATTGTTGAAACAAAAATTGCTAAATTTAGCAAAAAAATGCCTGTCAGAAACCCGTTGCCATGGCAAAAATTATTATCTTATTCCAATGACAGAGAATTGTTGCCAACAATATTCTAGGAAAATTCACCAAGTTTGGCCGTTCTAGCTCAAGCCGTTCAGACGCTAGGTGACATCAAAGTTGGCGCGGGAACTTTCAGCCCCCCCCCCCGGTCTAGGTAGGGTTAAATGGTTTAGTAGCGTGGCGCGTTCGTACCACCCAGTGCTGTCTCTGTGAAGGAGCGGAGTAAACACTAAATGAGTTAGCAGAGTGACGTACATGTTCGTACCACCCAGTGCCATCTCTGTGAAGGAGCGGAGTAAACACTAAATGAGTTAGCAGAGTGACGTACATGTTCGTACCACCCAGTGCTATCTCTGTGAAGGAGCGGAGTAAACACTAAATGAGTTAGCAGAGTGACGTACATGTTCGTACCACCCAGTGCTATCTCTGTGAAGGAGCGGAGTAAACACTAAATGATTTAGCAGAATGACGTGCATGTTCGTACCACCCAGTGCCATCTCTGTGAAGGAGCGGAGTAAACACTAAATGGCAGAGTGACGTACATGTTCGTACCACCCAGTGCTATCTCTGTGAAGGAGCGGAGTAAACACTAAATTTAGCAGAGTGACGTGCATGTTCGTACCACCCAGTGATATCTCTGTGAGGGAGCGGAGTAAACACTAAATTAGTTAGCAGAGTGACGTACATGTTCGTACCACCCAGTTCTATATCTGTAAAGGAGCGGAGTAAATACTAAATGATTTAGCAGAGTGACGTGCATGTTCGTACCACCCAGTGATATCTCTGTGAGGGAGCGGAGTAAACACTAAATTTAGCAGAGTGACGTGCATGTTCGTACCACCCAGTGCTATC